CGGAAGAACAAAAGAGTGTGAATCTTGAAGAAAAGGACTGGATGGTGTGGGAAGAGGTTCGTTTGAGGGGATCGATGGAATACTCCAATGATGTATATTTGTTAGAGTGGCCTGCATGGGAGAAGACTCATGGTTTTGAAATGGAAAGACAAACTTCACAAAAACAACAAGACATGAAATAAAGACTTTTTGAGTTTTTGGTTCGTAGCACCGAAAGGCATTATGTTCAAGAGAATATCCTATGAAGATGTAAGGTTTAGATCTTGGCGCTATCTTGTGTAGGGTATAGGGACGTAGCCACGGATAACATAAATAATTAAATATTCTAAGTTTTTGAAGGTTTGGGGATTTAGAAAATAATTTTTCAAATGAAGACTGGTATTGGAGAACTGGAGTGAACAGACGATTAATAAGGTAGACGACAACTTGAAAGGCTACAGACCAAAAGGTTGCTGGCATAGAGGCTTGATGTAGAAGTGTGAGACCAGCTTCTATGATATGTCGATGTTTGTGTTCAGCAGAGCCAACTAGTTGATGAGTGTGTGGAGGTGACTTAAAGTATTGAATGCCACAGGCAGAGAGATAGGATGTAAGGGCTTGATATTCACCTATACCATTAGAGTAGACTGTTTTAATTGTAGATTGAAAGAAGTTTGCAACCAGCTTTTTAAAGTTGGTGAAGATTGTTGAAACTTCTGATTTATGATGAAGATGGTATATCCATGTATACTTAGTAAAATAGTATACAAAAATAACATAAAATCTAAATTTATCAAAAGAAGTGATGGTAGCAGGGCCCCAAATATCAGTATAAATAATTTTAAATAGTTTAGAACATGATATGGAGGAAGTGTCAAAAGTAAGTCTATCACTTTTATTATTGAGACACGTATGACAATAAGTGATAATGCTATTATTTGTAAGAGTAGGAAGATGATAACAAGAAAGTAATTTATTTTGGATAAAGAGAGAGGGATGACCGAGATGACGATGCGACACATCAATTGGAGCTACAATTGAGGAGTAAACAGTGGGCTGGTTTTTTTGTGGAACTGACGGCCATTCATAAACATTGTCTTTATTCTGACCTTGGACCAAGGATGCCCCCGTTCTCAAATCTTTAACAAGAAAAGAGTTAGGAAAGAATTCAATTAAGGTATTATTTTGTTTATAAAATTGAGAAACGAAAATAAGATTTTGTTTAATGTAAGGTGCACACAAAACATTATCGAGTGTAAAAGTTGTGGTAGGTGAATTAAGTAGTGTAGAACCAGTATGAGTAATAGGAATTCCTTTACCGTCACCGATGATGTCCTCATTTCCACTATAATTGTTATAAATTGACAAGTTCTAGAGATCAGAGGTGATATGGTGGGATGCGCCAAAGTCCATGATCCAATTATGATCATTAGTGTTTGGAGTAGTCGTGAGATTTGCTTGAGGTCAATGTGATTAAGCATGAAGTCTGGATCAAGATCGATAGACCTTTATAGAGTGACCGACTTTATCACATAGTTGGCAAACAACTCTTTGTTGGTTTGTGTGTTGAGGATGCCAGGACTGCTGATGATTGAAGTAGCCACCTTGATTATTGTGATTGGAATGTTGATGAAGAGGAGGGATGGTTTGGTTGAAGCTCATAGGTTCAGAAGGCATCTTGGTCAAACTTTTGTCTTGTTATATAGATTGCCCCTCCTCATAGATTTATGATTAACTTGAGCTGTGATGGATGATCCTGGCAGTTTGTCCCCATGCTTTAGGTATATCTCAAAGTCAGTCAGCTTGTCGTAGAGTTCTTCGAAGGACACTGGTGAATCACGTGCTTGTATTGCTGTTACCAATTCCTTGTATTCATCTCTTAGGTCGTTGAGAATATGGACTGTAACTTCTTCATCACTAAAGGAATGACCTATCAAAGTCAAGTTATCAATGATAATCTTTATATTGTGTCGATAATCAGCAACAGTACTTCCCTCTTATTTTATCTTCATGAGACTGGATAGGAGACTAAGCATGCGAGTGCGGAAACGATTAGCTAGGGTGGTTTGCAACTTGCACCAAGCTTCGGTAGTAGTATCGCATGAAGAAATGAGTGGGACGAGGGATCTAGCGACCAAGGCTTGAATTGCTTGATAGATGAGATGATCCTGGCGTAATCATAGTTTGTGGTCCGAATTTGGTACTGGACTAGGTGTGCCTGAGATATTGAGTATTGCTGGTGGACAACGAAGATAGTCTGATGTGCAAAGACTACCTCAAAAAATATAAAGAAACCTATCACAATATAAGACACAATGCAAAATATGTCTAAAGCTTATGAGTTGGCAAAACTCTATGAGAAGAAACCTATTACGATGAGAGATGTATGACAAAATGTACTAGAGATGCATGAGTTGAGAAAACTCAACCTACATGAGAAAAAACTAATAGTGATGGGTGGCATAAGGCAAAATATGTTTGAGGCACATGAGTCAAGAAAACTTGACCAATGTGAGAAGAAATTCGTCATGGTGGGAGGCACAAGGCAAAACATGCCTTAGGCATATGTCGAAAAAACTCAATATGCATGAAAAGAAACTTGCAATAGCAAGAGACATAAGGAAAAATATGCCCTAAGCGTATGAAAAAAAACCTACCATGGTGAAAGATATAAGTCAAAATGAGTACAAGACATATGAGTCGAGAAAACCAAACTTACATGAGACGAAACCCATCACCCTCCTTTGTTGTTGCGGAGTAGAGTTTGGGTGACTTGAGCTCCTCTTATTGTCAAGGCATGGAGGTTGGGCACCCTGACCACCCTTGTTATCGAGGTGCAGAGGTAAAATGCCCTGACCCCCTCACTGCTAAGGCGTGAGGGGCAAAGGTTCGACGCTCGAACCCGTCGCTATCGAGGTGTAAAGATCGAAAAACTCAAACTCTCTTTGCTATTGAGGTGTGGAGGTTTCCCCCACCCACCCGCCTCGTTAGTTTATTTATATAGAGAAGGATCTAAGGCAGTTGCAAGTTATCTCCAAGCTATCTCCACCCGTATCGCCCACATTGAGAAAAGGCTAAGTGGAGGTTTGTAGATATTCTTGAGGGCTACCTCATAAAATATTATACAAAATATTTTACCCTTTTATGATCCAGTATAAATTGTTATTTTTAGTGTACTTGCAAGAGGAATCAATTTTTATTGCTCATCATCACACTCATTTTCCTCGGATTACTAGCTTGGGTATCAAAAAGATCGGATCGGAAAACCTCTCTCGATCTAGATTTTCGTATAAGTGACACCTCATCTCGAATCACATCAAGCTGATTAGGTCGTTAATGATAATAACTTTCCACAATAGCTAGATTAAAATATTTTAGATGAAGAAATATATTTTTCTTAGTTAGAATGTTCATACTTGTTGACCTCCTTGCTTAACCGAGGTGGGTCCATCAAATTGATTGAATTAGTCGAATGATGTTTGCTAATAGTTTTGTGAGAATAGATTGAATATTTTTTTTTAAGCAATAAAGTTATACAATTTTTGCTAACTAATTAAGATGTTTTTCTTATAAAGCATAGCTAAATTTAACCTTTTTGACAATTAAGTTAGCATTCATTGGTATGAGACATGAGACAGAAAAATATTCGGAGATAGATTCAAGAGTTCCAGAATGAGCTTTAAGAGTTGGAAAGAAATAAATAAAGAAGATTTGTTTTATAACTATCGATCAATTATCGGAATATTAGAATGTTAGTTCTCACCTAATCATTTCGAGATTGATTAGCCTCCACATGTCTAGAAAGGTTGCAAATCATTTTCATATCATAAAGACATTTCAAATATAAAAATAAATATTTCACAACAAAAGAATATATATATATATATATATATATATATATATATATATATAGAGGATAAAAAGGAGTATTAGGTAAGTCACAAGTATCTTGTAGATCATTTCGTTGAAGACTTTATGCATCTTGTCGAACCATTCACAACATTTAGATGCATCACAAAGAAATGGGCATTCACTTTACACTGAACAAAGAAATAAAAATAGATTTATAAATAATTTCTTTGTGACCTTATAAAAGATTTAAATCAAGTTAATACATTTAAATCTTTTCTCACTTGTAATGCGAGACTAAATCCAAGTTTTATACTACCTCATGCTCCTCGTTACTTTGATCTTATTATATAGGTTCAAATCCATAAGAGTAAGGAAAGCCATGTATTTTGTATCATTCCTAATGTTTCTTCTGAGAAAGAACTTTGCAGCTTGCACCAATGGAATCAGTGACAAGGAACCAATATAGCTCCGATATGAGAGAGGATGAACTCAAGATGAAGGATAAAGGGCCAAACATGGCCTACCTACCTCCTCCTTCCTCCTCCCTAACTCCCACCTGCTTTCCACTACGAGGACATGGCCAAACGGAAGCCGAAGAAGAAAGTGGAAGGTGAACCAAAGCCCATTCTGCAATGACAACCACATCATTCCTAGCTTTACGTACCCACCTCGACTGCCACACATTCCCACCCTCTTCTGATCTCTCTGAGACGCAACAAAAGGATGTGACCAACAGTCGGCAGGGCAACACCCCATGTGGAAAAGAGAGAGAGAGAGAGAGAGAGAGAGAGAGAGAGCTCCAACACAACCTTACCTAACCCTAATGTCACAAACCAAAACATCTCCGAAAGTTACAAGTCCCTCAGCCAAGTGTTCCACTTTCCAAGTCACCTTATTTCTTGTTCATGCAGAAGGTTTAGTGTAGGTGACTTGCTTGCGGACACGTCTTCAACCTTTAGATGCCGTCTTGTGAATGAATCGAATCCGGATAAGGTTAGCTATGGGACTGCGTGCTGATGATACGTTGGAAAATCAAACCTAGACAGCGAAAGTTCAGCAAACTGGTGTTATGCGAGGAGCGTTATGGAGTCTCAATGGTGGCAGTCACGAGGAGAAGCAAACTGTTGCCATTGTTGGGCGACCCACCGAGCCAAACTGCGGTGAGGCGAGCCATACGTAGCACATGTGGATGAGACTCACACCCTCCTCCCCAACTCCTAACGATTCTTCCCATTGCAGATCAGATCAGGTAAGTTGCTGTTGTTGCTGCCGTATGTTCCTTTAATGCTACAGGAGGGTGGTAAACTCATACTGTTCCCATCCACGAAGACTTCATACGAAGCAGAAGAACATCGAACAGGACACCCACTGTGGCTTTTGCCGGTCCCTTTCGGAATCGAACTCCTCTTCCCCACCTCCTTGCCAAGCTTCCAACCTTTTCCCCACCAACTCGACCTCTACAAGACCTTCCACAGCTGTCAAAAGCCTATAAATCTCCATGCCATTCCCCGTATATTTAGAGAGAGAGAGAGAGAGAGAGAGAGAGAGAGAGAGGTGCTTGATTCATGGGGAGGTCACCGTGCTGCGAAAAGGCTCACACCAACAAGGGGGCGTGGACGAAAGAGGAGGACGACCGGCTCGTCGCCTACATCCGAGCCCACGGCGAGGGCTGCTGGCGCTCCCTGCCCAAGGCCGCGGGCCTCCTCCGCTGCGGCAAGAGCTGCCGCCTTCGCTGGATCAACTACCTCCGCCCCGATCTCAAGCGCGGCAACTTCACCGAGGAGGAGGACGAGCTCATCATCAAGCTCCACAGTCTCATCGGGAACAAGTAAGTCTCGCCCTCCCTCAGCACTTCCCCGGAGAGTCGTCGTCCATGCCGTGATCGTGTGCGCCTTGATGATCACAGGTGGTCGCTGATAGCTGCGCGACTACCCGGCAGGACGGATAACGAGATCAAGAACTACTGGAACACCCACATCAGGAGGAAGCTGCTGTGCAGGGGGGTGGATCCCGTCACTCACCGGCCGGTCAACCGCCATGGTTCTGACACCACAACCCCTTCTCGAAGGAAGCCCGTCGTCGTAGGCTTCGGACCAGATCAGAAAGAGGAGAAGAGCAGCAGCGTGGAGTGGTCCCCCGACCTCAACTTGGAGCTACGTATAAGCCCTCCTTTCCAACCGCAAGAAACTCCGGTGCCGGAAAAGAGGGACGGAGAGCAACTCGGAGGCCTTTGTCTTGGATTGCAGAAGAGCCAGATGGAGTGCCACTGCAGAGACTTCCTTGGCCTCAGCACTGGCATACTGGACTACAGAAGGCAATAGAAATCTGGCAATCAAGACCTTAGGAGAATCAATACAGAAGAGATTGTACGTAAAGCACCTCTGGTTTCGTGTAATCCTTGGTGTCTCTGTGTGTATCATGATCAATATACCAGCTAGGTTTCTGCCACTTCTCATGCTGGTTAAAATCCATGATTCTTATGGTATGTGATCTAAAAATGACAGCAAAGCTTCCCGACTCCACCATCCTCTGATTGAATCAGTAGATATTGGTGTTTTTAGGCAGTGTTTTGTCTCTGTTTCCTGTTGTTGCTGATGCTCTGACCTTGCGAGGATGACATGAACCTGAATGAGAAAGGTTCACTATAAAGAACTTTTTAATTATATATATATATATATATATATATATAATATATATGCTATAATTTCCCTGTTACAATGGATGTTATAGGGGTCGTCTTGCATTCATCCATCTTTTGAGTTGGTGAGATGTTCCACTCGCTAATCTATATATAAATAATTTACTTTTTACAACCTACATGTAAATGGGCGTTTGGTCTAGTGGTATGATTCTCGCTTCGGGTGCGAGAGGTCGCGAGTTCGATTCTCGCAACGCCCCGCAAAATTTTAATTTATTTTCTTAAATTTTTTTGTCTTCTTTTGGAGATCCTCATTCTGGATACTGTTTATTTTCCTTTTATTTTATATTTAAAATATATTATTTTCAATTTTTCTGTATCTTTTATGTCCCTCCCTTAAGGATACAATTGTGTGAACGTTCGTCGACAATGTTTTTTTTTTAATTGGAAAATCATCTTTCTTCATTTGAGAAATTCCTTTTAGAGCCTCTTATATATTTCTTTTTCTTATTCTTGTCTCCGTCTGTTAGTTATGTCCTACCAGGATGAAAATTCTGTAACCATTTGTCGACTATGCTTCAGTAAAAATTATATTTATATTATTATTATTATTATTCATGATCTTTGGACGATGTTTCGGTAGAAAAATTGCATCAGAGAATATCTCAAATCTTCTGCTACTTGAGAAAGATGTATCATTATCTGCTTTACTAAATTTCAAAAGAACAACGGGAGAACGATAATAAACAGTGGAAATCAAGCTCTTGTATCGAGAGATGATTTGCTGTGAGAACATATTCTTCATTCTAAAAATTCCGAGAACTTAAAAAGATTAGGGTACAATTCGAAAGCTACATCTCATTGTTAAAGAATTATGAGGCAAGATGCACCTTGTGGGAGGAGTGTAACTATCAAAAAGAGAGACCGACGGTGACGAGTGTTGATATCAAGAAAGCACTGCCTTGATCTTAGTCTTCTGATCCTCGGTTAGTGACTTGGGAAACAATACCTCATATGTGAGGTATAAATCTCCTTTCTTTGTACTCATGTGAATAGGCATTCCTTCCCCTTTAAACTTCCTGATCTCTTTAGGCTTTGTGATTCCCTGAAGAGTTTCACTTGTTTGCTTGGTGAACTGATAGAAAGAGAAGATGAGTTTGTAGAAGAAAGCAAGACTGTGAGTGCTTACTGACCTTGGTGCCTATCTCCACCAGATGTTCATCAAGATGCTTGATGGTTTTCTCAAAACCTACAAGAGCTTGAAGCTGAAAGAAATCCAGGAACTTGTTAGATATAACTCAGAAGTTGAAAAACATAAATGACTGGAAAAAGAGAATGAAAAAAAGAGGAAACATGCAAACCTCTGGCAATCAATCAATAAGTTAATACCAAGCAATCATTTCTCAGTAGCAACAGGGCTTTGGCTATGTAAGCTAAAATGTCTTAAGCCCAAGAAACTATATTATAAAGCCCATCTAAACCTATACTCCAAGACAATCTAGGTATCACAATCCTCCACTCTCAAATGTCTATCACCCTCATACATAAAACACAATTACTCTATAACAGGAAACATTTGGGATGCATGACATCAATGGTAGCTTCGGGCCATGACCTGTCTTCTTGAACCATCCATGGGTACCTCCTATTTTATTGGACTTACTAATCAACACTTTTGTGCTACCAAGCTTTATTGGTCCACCACCATTTAAATGTGCCTTTAAATTTCTTTGGTTTGAAAAAAAAAGTTTGTTGATATAAGCCTAAGGTAGAAGATATTTCAATAGTTTTTCTTCACCAGCAATATAATAAAAGACAAGCACTTGATGCCAAAGTCTAGACTCCAGAAATGACAGCTTTAAATATTTGTGCTAGGTTGAGCAAATGATGGGGAAAAACATTTAGATCGAGTCTCAAGATCACAACTCCAACATATGAAAATCATGGAAGGTAATACTACAAATGACATCCAGAGACCAAATAGATAACGTATGCGTGTTGTACAATTACATACTTCTATGCATGCTGTAGATTTACATACTGCATTCCCTAAAGCAAATTACTTCTCATGACCATGTTTTGCCATGCATTTGTCTTTCTGAATGCATTTGGTAAAGCATGTTTATTTGTTGAAGAAGGAGAGAACACAATTGATATTGGTCATCAACGTGTAATTTATGAGTTATTGGTGCTTATAACAACATTAGGCACTATTTAAGCCTTTTACCGGCAAGCATAGAGCTACAGTCACAAATTTGAATAAGTAGCAGCAAAAGCTCTAAAGAGAGGATCAAGAAAAGAGTGGGCTTGATCTAAAAATCAGAGATGTATCGATAGAATCAGGAACATAGATTAAAAGAGGCAAGTAGAATACAGAATAGTACCAGTGAGATGGTCACGGTCATATGCAGGTCATTGCCTTCCCTTCTAAAGCGCTCATGTGGTGCTGTTTGAATCCTGAACTGCTCATTTAAATGATGCAGCATTAAGTGACAAATTTTTCTAAATAGTAAGTACATCTCATAGTTCAGAGAAGTAATAAACCTTCAGATCTCCAGCTTCCCCATCAATTTTAGGTTCACCATCCTCATAAAATAGCACCTCCTAGAATGCATACAAATTATTTAGACAATCTCATGATAAACTAAAAAGAGCAGAAAAAAAAAAGAACTAGCAGAAACACAAATAGACACACGAATTATTTCAAAGAAGCAGCTGCCGAAATTTAGAATAAAAAATATTGTAACAAAAGAATGTATAGCACTAGGTCTAACCTGGAAATACATGGAAACAAAAGATGGACATGTATGAATGACTGTAACATCTAATGTATGTGATCCTCCAAACAGACACACACACACAAAATAAAGAAAATAATTATTGTAACAACAGTGACAAAGCTAATAGTACAATCAATAAAAAAGGAAAAAGGGTTGGTACAAAGAAGTTAGATCAGATAGCAACAAAGAATAGGCAAAACAGAAAAGTTGGATATTTTGCTTGTATACCAAGGTGTTCTGCTGTATTTGAATGAACTTCATCCAGAAAACCTAAAATAATAAGACTTACATGTTACACAAATTTTCAATTCCAGATTGTAAATCTAATGTCACCAGCGAACATTGGACTCACAGAAAGTTTATTGCTCAGGGTTCTTCATATTGAAAAAGTCAAGCAGTAGAATAGATGAAAAGGATATGGCATTTTAACACCTTGAACTGTATGAACTGTATTTTGTATCTAGATTTCAGCAGCAAGTAGTATAAATTGTATTGAAGTGTTTCCTAATATACATCACAAAATGCTCATATGCTGACACCTTGAGTTGATATAAACAATGCAGCTGTTCTTCATACAAGAATGCTGTGTCAAATGCCAAAGCATTAAAGAACCCAGAATCCTAATGTTGGAAGTGTCTACATTAACAGACCTACATCATGACAGACACTAACAATCATTGAAGAGATTGCTTAGGACCAGAGCTCCTTAACAAAATTCAACTAGAAGCAAGCCTACAAGTGTAAAGACCATAGTACTTAAACAGTGTCTGAATATCAAATCTGAGTTCCAGACACCAAAAGAAGAAGACGACCAAAGAGTTGCTCAATAAATACTTAAGACCAGCAATAGCTAAGAAGTTTTCAGGTTCAACCACTTACTTGACCATCTTGCATCCCCTTCTCAATATCCACAGTGATGAAATAACCTTCTCGCTCAAATTTCACATTTGGACATTGTTCACAGACCTGAAACCAAAAAAAAAAGTTTTATTGAAACCTGAGGTACTGCAGTAAGCATCAAGTCTTTCAGAGAAAAGTATGATGCATATACTCCAGTTGTTGAAACGATGTACATTCAAACGTAAGGTACCATAGGCACCTTCAATTATTGAAGCCTTTCAGAGAAAAGTATGATGAATTTATCCTAGTTGTTAAAAGATTGACTATTCAAACCTAAGCCACCATGGGTACCAAGGTCTTTCAAAGTATTATGCATTCAGCCCAGTTGTTGAGAAATGTTTGGAAGAAAATCATAATAATAAAAAAATGGCTGCTATTGCCAAGGCAATTATTTCACATGGCACTGACAAACCAAGTTGCTAATAGACATTAAAATTACCATCTCTGTCATCTGTTGGAACATTCCTGGAGCAATTTGCCTGTGATATACTTCATTCCTGCAGTTACAGCGCCTCTTGCCAGGAGCTGGCTTGATGACGTTCTTCTCTCTCCAAACCTAGTTAGGTATACATTTAAAAAGCAAAATAAGTATCAAGGGAAACTGTAGAAATTAGTTACTTCTAAATAGTAGTTACTGTAAGAAATCCTATTTTTCCTCAATTAAAATATAAATATTACAATACTTAGTTAGGTATACAGAGCATGAGGAAATGAATAGATAAAAACTGATATTTCAAGCACTATGGCTAATGGTTCCTTCTGAATGTAAGAAGCTAGGAAAAATCTATAGCTCCTAGATACTTAAAAAGTATAATTACCTTTAGTGTGCCTCCCATATATAAATCTTCTAGTGTGGCATCCAATTCAACAACGACATCATCACCTTTCGGTGTCACCTCTTCCTCCTCATCATTTTGACCATTCCCAAAGAAACTAAAGAAATCACAGTGTTAACAATACTGCTCAGACTTAACTCAATACTTGTTCATTAACATAATGTTAAATTCATGTAATAAGCATAGTGAGCTGAAACTTTGCAACTGCAGGATAGATCCAAAAAAATTCAAGAAAGAACATTCACTTATAATTTGAAAGTTGCCATAAAAATAGCATGATCCAGGAAAATAACATTTACAAGCTATTTAAAAAGACCAAGACAACTATAAAAAATGAAAAGATAGAAAAGAATTTACAAGCTAAGGCAAGAAAATCATTCATTCCTTGAAAAAAAGAACCTTAAAAAATATGGTTCACTATGCCCTGTTGTAGGAAAAAACCTTACCCTCTATACCTTTATGATTCTTGTTCTATGCATCTCCAATGGATCTTTTACATATTGATGGCTGAGACTACTGGTGATACTAAACATTTTAAAGATGGTTTGGCTTCTTTGGCATTCAGAAATCTACCATGATGCTGATACTACAATTTTGCATATGGATTATTAGGTCATCTTTTACTCTTTCAGAATCTGAAAATGATTATTACTTTTCCGCAAACAAACTGAAGGTTATCCTTTGTGGACATGAACATTCACTTATAAGATACATAAGTAATAATGTCTATGAATCCATATTCTGATTCAATGAATAATAGAAGGTTCCAACATAATCCTGCTTGATGGTTGCTACTTCTTAAGAACCAACTAATCAATGAAACTGAGAAATCACTCACTCATTTCACTATCAGAACATGTCTGTGTTCAATTTTACTGTTGGAGTTTCAGTTTTGAGAGATTCTGTTATTTCAGGAACAATTGGGGAGTGGATTGGGTCAGAATGTTGGCTCTACAGCCCCATGATATTCTTTATTGCCCCAGATGACAGACACTTGTACTATCAATGAACTGAACCCACTTACAAACTATGCTTTTGCAACATGATCTATTGCTATTCTTCTGAATCAATGATTAGGAAACAAATTGGTGGTTTCCATAAGATCTACTGAGGAAGGAGAGATTATATATCAAACCTAATATACTGATTAATAAATCGAGTGAAGCAGCTCAAGTCATGTTTTCCAAAGAGTGCTAGCTCTTACTGTTCAGTTAATACTTCTGATTTATAAACAGAAACTCTTAAAAGCAGTAATGCTTACCTATTAAAGATGTCTTGAATGTTCATCCCTGAACCTCTTCCACCCCCACCAGCATACTGCTTCAAACCCTCCTCCCCATACCGATCATAGATTTTCCTCTTCTCGCTGTCGGACAGCACTTCATATGCTGACACCCATCAATAGGCAAAAGGTCAAATCTTGAGCGCTATAGATCCAAGATCAGCAAAATGAAGTGGAAAAGTAAGAGCTGATAACATAAATTCCAACCAAAACGAAATCACAGCATTCACAAGTTCAGAAATCCGCCAAATCTCTTGGATCACTAGAACAAAAAGAAGGAATGCTGAGCAAACGCAGATCAAAAGGATCAACAAATTAGTACGGAGAAATAAGAACAAAACAGCGTTAAGTTCCAACAACAAGACCTGCAGGGGGAAAAGGGAGTTCACAGCGCTCACCATTGTTGATCTCCGCAAATCTCTTGTTGGCCTCTTCGTTTCCTTGATTCTTATCCGGATGGTACTTCAAAGCAAGCTTCCTGTAGGCCCTCTTGATCTGGTCCTCAGAAGCACCCTTCGGCACTTGCAACACGTCGTAATAACTCTTCCTATAACCCCCAAAAAATCCGCCATCCCAAGTAAAAACAAAACAAATTTCAGCAAAGTCACAAACAAACCAAGTCCAAATCCATTAACGAAGCGAACCAGGGAGGGGCCGAGTCGTACCCTCCGGGGGCACAAAGAGCGTGCGCGAGGAGGAGGGCGAGGAGGAGAAGACCCCTCGCCAGAGGCGCCATGTGGGCTCGGGGCGATCCGAACTCGAAGCGGAAGGGCGGGATCGAGGATTTGGTAGAGGTTCGAAGATGGCAGATTTAGGGTTGTAAAGGAATCGGAGGACGAGTTCTCCGGTGGCGTCGCGGTTCCTCTCCGTGGACACACGGCTTCCAAAAGAGCTCTGAAAGAAAAGAAAGAGAGAAAAGCCGAGGAACGGTTGTAGACGTGGCTGGTCACAAATAGACCAATGGGAAGAGAGATGCCGGGTGTTCGGACAAATGAAAAATGGCCACGTGGACGTAGGCCCCCTGTTTTGCGTCGGTTCGGCTCGGGCGTTCAACTCTTAATTCCGACCAACGAATAACGCGCCAAAGCGGAGGCCCCAATATAAGAACCCTAACCACAACATCGTCCTCTTTCTATTCTTCTTGCTCTCCAGCTCCCGAATCTTGACTCTTCCAATCGACAATCGCAGTTGTCTTCCCGACGCCATTGCCCTCAAAGGTTGGCCTCCATCTCCATCTCGATCGCACTCTTTCTATATCTAACCCTAGCGATTGTCGGATTTTTTTTTTCTGTTCTTTTTTTCTCCTCCGTTATCAATTTTTTCGATTCATCGCATAATCTTTGATGAAATACCGGTGTCTGTCTGCTCTATGCCCAAAATTTTCGTGTGGGGGTTTCATTAGATGTTTCCTCGGAGTTACGTGAGATGTTCTCCCTGATTATTTTTTGCCGGTACCTTTGATCCTCCTTGAGTGGTTTATTCGAGTGTTCCAAGTGTCCTCAGCAATCATGAGTTCAGCTGAAGCGAAGGGGTGGCTCGCTAGATATGTCGAGCGTAGAACAACATATACGGAGACGAAATTGCCAACAAGCTAATACCAGGAATTCTTTCTACAATTTCAGCATCAAGGCAAGATCCAAAGCGTCTCTTTTTTAGAACAATCGCTGGAGTGTGGCATATGTGAAGGGAATTTTCATTCTGTGGATCTTAAATTTTTTGACTAATGCCATTAAATCTAAAAGCTTTAGTATTGCATCTAAAAGCTTAGGTCGTCAGACAAGACATGATCTATGTGATTTAGATTCTTAACACTCCTTATCCGGGTCCTAGATTAGTGTGAATTTAAGACCTTATGCTCTGATACTTTTCCCTTTTTTTTTTTTTGTCAAAGTCATTGCATCTAAAAGCTTTAGTTATTAGATGAATCATTTGTTGAATTATATTCTTAATGGTGGAAGTAATTCATGGTGTTTGTAAATGGTGGCTTATGAATTTATCTTTTCATAATGTTAAAGAAAAAACAATGACTTGATTGAAGCACTCTACTTTTTGTCTTTTTTTTTTCTTTTTTGGGTTATTGGTCTTTTTTTTTTCTTTTTTGGGTTATTGGTCATTTAGGAGAGTGGTGTACACTGGAATTCATCTACAAATATATTTTCGACTTAAATAAAGATGTCCTTGATTGATTACGGACCTGTTTATACTGTAAGGACCTATTTTGAATTGTTTATAAGGACTTATTTGTAAATATGAGGGTATATTTATAAATTTAGATAATTACAAGGACAAAATTGTAAAACATACAAAAAAATAATAAAAAGGGGTTTCTTCCACCACCTCTTACCTCCATGCCTTCAGCCTAAAGGAACCAAAGGAGGCTGCAATCGGTGGAGACGAAAAAGGGAGAAGAGAGAAGAAGAAAAAGAAGGGGAAGTGGTTTGACTTAGGGTTTTTGGATCCATTCCTCTTATTTGGGAACAAACTCTTCTAAGGCAAGTGTTCTAACCCCTTCCTACAGCAATTTTTATTTCTGATTTCATCTTGATTATGTGTATTTTAAAGGATTTTGTCTTTGTAAATGATATCAACTTTGTTGAGCTATAAAATTATGAATTTAGATTTTTTCGAGATTCTGACCTTTCTACCTTGTTTTAGCTATAACTTTTTATACTAAATTCTAATTTGGGTAAAACTTGATTCTTTGGAAACTATACTCGTATATCTTTGTTTCCATACTTTCCTTGAAAGATTTAAAGTTCAAATGTCTGCCCAAACATCTGTTTTAATTTACCCTAAGGATTTTATAAAACAAGGATAATATTTTCGGACTTTTCTATACTAAATTGCTTATAACTCTTTGTGGGAAACTATAATTGGTACGAAACTTAATTCTTTAGAAACTAGACTCGTATATCTTTCTTTCAGTACCTTAATTGAAAGATTTAGAGTTCAAATGTCTGCCCAAACATCTGTTTCAATTGATCCTGAGGATTATGCAAAACAGAGATAATATTTTCTTACCTTTGGTACTAAATTTCTTGTAACTTCCTGTTGAATACTCTAATTTGTATGAAACATGATTCATTTGAAAGTAGATTGATGTATCTTTCAAATGATATTTTTCTTGAGTAAATGAGAGCATGATTGATTATTCAAATAATTCATGCAAAATGTCTCACAGATTCTATCATTATAGAATTTTTGTCAATTTTGTCTATTATTGTTTCTATCTCTTTGAATTTGAATTCATTTAGAATTCTTCCCTCAATTGAGCCCTATGTGATTGCTTTGAACTATTGTATCTCTTGTCATTTGTTCTTATCATATCTGAATGTATTATGCAAAAGTTTATGTTGTCTTATATTGTTTCATATGTGCATATATATGTTTTTATTGTTGCACATGTGCTTCCTATACATGCTAAATTTATTGCTCGCAATATCCTTTTGCATTCCAATGTTTGTGGGATAATGTAAACCTTTGCTAAAAATGGAAATGAGAGTTATCTATAGAGCCTTCAATGATTTTGTTGGCCCTTTATGACTTCATCCAAACATAGGTGGATGGAGCTCATAGATGTGGGAGACTTATGTTAATGGTCATCTATAAATTGATGGACCATATTATGTTATGATCCCATTTCACTCTCTGTGTTTTTTTGACATGTTATCCAAAGTATTGCTTATGTATTCCTATGTGCTCTTTGGATAAGAATGAAATAAATGTAGCGTCAAATACGACACTTGAGCTTACATTTCTCATTTGTTCTCTTAATATGTATATAAATGTTTTATATACCATTGATATGTTCCTAAATATTTCATATGCTATTGATATGCTCCTAAATGTTTCATATGTTATTGATATGCTCCTAAATGTTTCATACTCCATTGTTATGCTCCTAAATATTTCTTACGCCATTGATTTTAATATGCCATTGATATGCTCCTAAATGTTTCATACTCCATTGTTATGCTCATAAATATTTCTTACGCCATTGATATACGTCTAAATAATTCATACGCCATTGATATGCTTATAAATGTTTCTTACGCCATTGATATGTGCCTAAATGTTTTCTTACGTCATTGATATGTGCCTAAAAGTTTTTTACACCATTGATATGCACCTAAATGTTTCTTACCTCATTGATATACGCTTAAATACTCTTTTCTTCATTGTTATGAACAAAGTATGTTTCGAATGAAATAACATTTGTGATTTTGTATCTGATAAAATAATATCTATGAATTCTTATATCCTTGCCTTGCACCTTAATATTAAGGCTATATGAATTACCATTTCCAGTTATAAATATGTTAGTCACTTGTTGAGATTTGTAACTTATCCTATTGTTATATAAAATTTTCAATTTAACTTTTCACTCATTAAAATATTAGGATTGGGCTAAAGCAATAGAAAGCTAGAACATTTTGGGCAAGTGTTTGTGGTTTGATATGTTGTTGTCGTATAAGTATATTTTGCATATAATAAAATATTATTAAAAAATTTGGATTGTTGATATTTTCTGAGTTAGCCTTGGGTTTCGTGAATTATCGAGTTATCTAATGTATAATTATAAACTGCATAAATTTTATATATGTGAATAGTGTTTGAATGCTTTTCAGTGTCCTCAAATGTCATTTTGGATTTTGGAATTGGATTATGGACGGATTATAATTTTTTTGATATAAGATAGATTCACGAATGCATTAATTTAGGGGGTGTGACAAAGATGATATCAAAGCATGATTTGAGAATCACTAAGATATTTAATATGTTTGATGTGCAATATATATTGAGATTTAGTAACTTTTATAGAGTGATTGATGAAAATTTTTCTTTTGCTGTCTTTTAGGAAGCTAGAATGACGAGGCCATCGGGTTCTTCGACTGCATCTTCTTCTGATCAGTTGAGTGAGATTATGAGAACTCTTGAGACTATGTTAAATGTGATGCAACAACTTCAACAAGAAAGAAATTGTGGAGCAAAGACCTCAAATCAGACTGGATTGGGAATAGAACAATTTAAGAAACTTAGTCCTCCCAGTTTCAGTGGTGAACCTGATCCAATGGTGGCAGAACAATGGATGATGCAAATGGAGAAAATATTTGATGTCTTAAATTTCTCTGATGATCAAAAGGTTTCTTTTGCCACCTTTATGTTGGAAGGAGAGGCTGAGTACTGGTGGAAAACAATAAGGAGAATTTCTGAAATTAGACATGAGCATATCACTTGGAAGGTATTTGTAGAAAAGTTTAATGAAAAGTACTTCTCAGATTATATTAAAGAGCAGAAAGAATTAGAGTTTTTAAATCTTGTTCAAGGAAATTTGACAGTAGCAAAATATGAAGCTAAATTTATTGAGCTTTCCAGATTTGCTACTTATATAACTGATGATGAATCTAGAAAGGCAAAGAGATTTGAAAGGGGACTAAAGCCAGCAATAAGGAGTTGGATATCAGTCTTAAAGCTTCAAACATATGCTGATGTGGTAGAAAGAGCTATGATAATCGAAAAAGACATAGAAGAGATTCAGGAGATCAGGGGCAAGAATGACAAAGACAAGTTTACTAACAAAAATAAGAGAGGAAAGGAATCAAAAAATGGTAATAAGAGGATCAAGACAACTAGATTTGAGAAAGAGAAGCCACCACAAAGGACTCGGTCATGTGTAAAATGCAGGTTAAATCATGAAACAAGTCAGTGTTTTCGAGTGATTGGAGCTTGTTTTGCCTGTGGGAAGTTGGATCATAAAATAAAATATTGTCCTCTGAACGAGAAGAAAGAGCCACTGCCTCCTGCATCATCAACCCGTACTAGAGTGTCTGCTATCGCTGAACAGGATTTCAAAGCTTCTAAGTCAATGGTTGAAGGTATTATTCACTTTTTTAGTAGAAATGCAAAAATTTTGTTTGACCTTGGTTTCAATTTATCTTTTGTTTCATAATATTTTGCTTATCACTTGGGTATTCAAATTAGATCACTGGATTATATGTTATATGTAACTACGGCTGTTGGGGACTCTTTGACAATAAACGTTATTTATTCATCTTGTTTGATTTTTATTGGAGAACACAAACGTTTTATTGATTTGCTTCTTGTAGAGATTCGATATTTTGATATTATACTTAGCATGGATTGACTATCTTTCTATTATGTTAGTATAAATTTTTATACAAAAGTGATCACTTTTTACGTGCCAGATCAACCCATCTTTTATTTTGAGGGTATTAGGCATAATTCATCTCCTTGCCTTATATCGGTATTTCAAGCTCATCATCTTATGTAGAAGGGCTATTTTTACTATTTTGTATATGTAAATGAGTATTCAAATTAAGAAACTAATCTAAATAAAATTTCAGTGGTCAGAGAGTTCCCTAATGTATTTTTGAAAGACTTACTCGGATTGCCTCTAAATATAGTAGGAGAATTTGCTATTGATTTGGTCCTCGGAACAACCTCGATATTTAAGCCTCTATAGAATGACACCACTCAAGTTAGTAAAATTAAAGAAGCAACTACAAGAATTATTAAATAGGGTTTCATTTGGCCCAACGTCTCACCATAGGGTACTTTGGTGTTGTTAGTTAAGAAAAATGATAGAATATTGAGGTTTTATATTAATTATAAATAATTGAATCAAGTGATCATAAAAAATAAATATCCTCTACCCATAATTGATGATTTGTTTGATCAATTGCAGGATGCACAAATCTTTTTCCAAGATTGATATGAGGTTTGGTTACTACCAATTGAAGATTAAGAAAGATGATATCTCAAAAATAGCTTTTAGAACTCGATACGGTCACTATGAATTCTTAGTAATGTCTTTTGGCTTAACTAATGCCCATGCAACTTTTATGGATCTAATGAATAAGATATTTCAACCACTCTTGAATGACTATGTAATTGTATTACTAATGATATATTAGTGTATTCGAGGAGTAACCAGGAGCATGTAGAATACATAAGAAATGTATTAACAATACTAAGAGAAAAGAAGTATGCAAAGTTTAGTAAATGTGAGTTTTAGTTAAATGAAGTTGCCTTTTTAGGCCATGTGATTTTAGGGAAAGGCATATTTGTTGATCCAAAGAAAGTGGAAGGATAGTTAAATGGGAAATACCAATGAATGTAATAGAAGTTAGAAGTTTCTTGGGCTTGGTAGGTTACTATAGGAGATTTATGGAGGGATTCTCTCAAATTGCTAGTCTTCTCACCAAATTAACCCAAAAAAATGTGAAATTTGAATGAGTGAAGATTATGAGCGAAGTTTTCAAGAGCTAAAATGAAAATTGACTAGTGCCCCAATCTTAATATTCCAAATGGTAACAAGGGATTTATAGTTTATACAGATGCTTCGAGAAAGGGCCTTGGTTGTGCTTGGATAAAGGAAGTAATTGCTTATGCTACTAGACAATTGAAAAGTTATGAACAAAATTATCTAACTCATGATTTGGAATTAGCAATAATTATTTTTGCTCTAAATATTTGGAGACATTACTTATACGGGCGAATATTTGAAATATTTACTAATCACATGAGTTTAAAGTTTATTTTTACTCGGAAAGAGTTAAATATGAGGTGACAGAGAGATGGAACTCATAAAGGATTATGATTGCCCCATATGTTATCACGCAGGTGAAGCCAATGTCGTAGCTAATGCACTTTATAAAAAATCTATAAGCTTTATGACTAGTCTAATTGTTTAGCAATGGAAGTTATTGGAAGAAAATTATGACTTGAATGTTATGAGGAAAGTACGAGACCTAATGATATTAATGGCCTCTAAGTTCAATCTGATCTCATACAACAAATTAAAGAAAGACAACAACGAGATCTACGTTTAATCTATTTGAGGAATGAAATAGAAAAAGGATTGAAGTCGGATTTTTTAATTTCAGATGATGGTCTACTGAGATTTAAGGATAAAGTATGCGTCCTTAATGATCAAAATATCAAGAACTAAATCTTGGAGGAAGGCCATAATTTCAAGTACACCATGCATCCTGATAGCACTAAGATGTATAAATATCTCAAAAGTCATTATTGGTGGGAAGACATGAAGAAGGAAATTACAATATATGTTTCAAAGTGTTTAACTTGTCAACAAATCAAAGTAAAACATCAGAGACCTAGAGGTTTGTTGCAACTTTTAGATATTTCTGAATGAAAATGGGAATTGAATTCACTTATAAAAATAGTTATCATTCATGCATTCAAATGGCTTCTTATGAAGGTTTATATGGGCGAAAGTGCAAAATGCTTACATGTTGGAAAGAGGTTGACAATAGAAAATTGTTTGCTCCAGACAAAGTATAAGAGACTACCGAAAAAATTCAAGCTATAAGAAAAAGTAAATACTACTTAGAGTCATCAAAAGAGCTTTACTGACAATAAAAGAAAAAACTACTTGAGAGCTATAAAAAAAATGAAGAAAACTTATTTTCATCTTTTCATCGATTAAGGTATGACAATTTAGAGGATAACATTTTTCTTTTAAGAGGGTGGGGATGGGGGGAGAGTGTAATATTCCTTATTTTTGAATTGTTTATAAGGATTTGTTTGTAATGTAAGGATTTATTTTGAATTATTTATAAGGATATATTTGTAAACATTAGGATCTATTCGTAAATATAGATAATTACAAAGATTAAATTGTAAAACATAAAAAAAAAAATAGAATGGGGTTTCTTCCTCCGCCTCCATGCCTTAAGCCTAAAAGAACCAAAGGAGATTGTAATCGGTGGAAAAAAAAAAAAAGGGGGGGAGAGAACGGAGAAGAAGAAAAAGAAGGGGAAGTGGTTCGGCTTAGTATCTTACTACCTTTATGTCAATTTGTATCTTGCTACTTACAAGGTGGATTCTATCATTCACAGCAGAATTATGCTTTGTCTATCTTTCAGACTATGCAACTTTACTTTTCATTTGTTATCTTTTCCCTTTTTCTTTGACTATGGGTACGAAAAATGCTATTATTTGTTGTGTGATATAGAAGGATCATGCTATAAATTCAAGATTAGATCGACTTAATGTTGCAGCGACATGGATTCATTTGTTATGTTGTAGAAGGATCACGTTTTTAGTAATCATTGAGACATTTACTGATGATTGAATCATTTTAAAATCTTTACGAACATGGTTGTGCAGAGAATGGATACATCCAGTCCTGCAGTTCTTGTTAAAGCAGAGATCCTAAAAATGCCTTGGGAACAGAGATTTTGAGGTGTGATTCAAGTGTTCTCAAGCCATACTGGGTCAATCAGGGCAATCCACTTCTGGGCATCAGCTAACAGTGAAGGACTCTCAGGCCTTTCCTCTTATCACATTTAGTGGGGGTCAGTGGTCTTGCTAATGGCAATCAATCAGTTTGTGCCATCATATGTACTTATAAAGAAGTCTTTCTTTTGTTGTTTTCTGGTGTAATGAGTGCTTATTCGTAGGCAGCTTATACAAGGCATAAAAGAGTATTGTTAGTAAAATATGTTTTTTGTCTGTGAGAGAAAAAGTGTTGTCAATGTTTTGTCTCGTAAAACATGCAAGCGTTTGGGACAGAATTGTTTCTTACGCAGAAGAAAATATTGAAACAGTCACGTCTTCACATGCCGCAACTTTACTTTTGGCTGATGATCTTGACGTGAGACATTAGTGGTGGATAGGTCATCGCTCCATCTTTTGCCTATTATGAAATAAATTTCTACAACTCTTATTTGCTTGTGTGATCTCGAGTTTCGCTTACCATGACCTATCTTGTCCTTGTAGGTTCATACGGAATTATATGAATTTACTAGTAGATCGACTCGATACGTGACGGTGAACATGAATACTAGTTCAAACAACACTCGGACCTTGTCTAAAATTTCACCAGGATGCCACAGCTATGGAATATGTTTGATCATCTGAAAATTTAGGAGATATGCCAAAACCCTCAATAATATCAACACAAGTCCTAAGTACAAACGAAAAAAGACTGATTTATAATCAAACTACAAAACCTGAGAAAAGCCATGATAGATAACAGGTTAGCAACTATTTGTGTGGTCTTAAACCTATTTGTGACCAAGCTTGGAATCCGAAAGACGTCCCAACGACGACGAGCATTCCTCAATATAGTCCGCTTCATTCTCAGTGCTTTGATAACATGTCTCGTCGTCTAGACCTTTTACACAGGAGAAGGATCGGTCTTCACCCGGTTCGGTGCTCTGCATGTTCTCTTGCCCGCTGCTGAACGGCAACTCATATGCCACCGAACAATGTGGCTGTGCCCTCATCTGCACCGAGCGCAAAAGCGCAGCCCGCCTTAGGTCCGTCGTGTGGCACATGTCATTCGGTGATGAAGGAAACCTGCCTTCTGAGTCTGACCCACGTTGGCGTGGATGGGAACACATGACAGCAGCAACATTGCAGGTATTGAGTGGGTATTGGGTGGCTGTGGCGAATGTCGAGAAAGGATTCTGATGGCGGTGTGGTGAGACCGGACTAGTGGGACTGCTCATGGCATCGGACTGTGAAATTGTGGTGTGCAATGGGGTTTCGCAGTAACGGCAGTCATCTGAATCTTCAGACATTGGAGAGTACTGCAAGGCAATCTCATCCCTGAAATAGGAATGATAACAGAAGTTAAGTACCGACAGATCACATCAAGAGGAAGCGAAGCATCATCTTACCGAGCTAGAGCACTTGTTATAGCAAAAGCATCTACCATCATTCTTGACCAATAAGTATTGCTACCCTTGATAATCTACATAAAAATTATCTAAAAAACTCAAGAGGAAAAGTTCAAGATTTAACACTGTTTATCAATTGCTCAACCAACTCATAGTGACCCTTCCCAAGCTAACCCACTTGGTCAATGAGGGCAGATAATCAGCAGTCAACTCAGTTAGTGATTTCAAGTGATTCAGTGCTCACCTAAACAACTAAAAACATGTTATTTGTCTAACAACAAGAACAAATTGCAACCATATGTCGACTGTGTAAGTTGATATTTCTCTAAGAGCAAAACTGAATTTCTCAGTCTTCGACAATTGAAAGCTTGCGAGGATGAGAATTACACGGTTGGTGCCATGTCAGCTTGCACCAAGTTAGAGTAAAAAAGACACCAACATGGTTCTCAAAGTGGAATTAGGTATTTACCAGGGAAGTCCATAAAGTAAACAAAAAATTAGAAGTTCATAAAAGAACTTAACCATAGACGAGATCAAACCAGATAATGTAACATTTGAGAGGAAAACTAAGGCCAAAAAGATCAACTGTGTGAGACTTATTGATTCCTGTTTATCATTTATAGCCACTATTTCTGATACGCTAAAAGGATATACAGGAGCCTATCAATTCATTCTTCAAATGGAGATTTGGATAAGCTGGTTTCTATCTGGTTAGTTTAGATTTTGTAAACATCAAGGCGAAAATGGAAGAAACCTTTTTAGCTACTTTCTGCACCCAGCTGTTCAGTCAAAAAAATGTATACTGACCGAAGAAAGGATAACTGGATGTTCAATAATCATGATTCAAGGATTTTTTTTTAGAAAATGTCAACATTTACATTTAGAAAAAAGAAACAATAAAGGCCAAGAAAATTTGGCCAATACTTAAAACTTTGGTCAATTTTTGTGATTTTGTGGATTATGATTTTATTTGCATATATTTCTGATCCTAATTAATTTGACATAATAAACTTCGATCATTTGCTTTTAAGAAGGCCTAACAAAATGACAGTTTGTTTTGTTTGTGAAAGAATTGAAATGCTTGTCTATTAAGTTATCTACATGTGCACAATTAGGGTCTAAGGCCTTCTCTGTAACCTCTCTTTATATAGATATATTTGGCTGATCACAAAGGAATCTTATATGTACTTTGGTGAAAGAATGGCCAACTATAGGCACTTCCCTTCTTTTCACACATTCTTTTATTTCTTTTTCTCGTATATTTTAAATCTCTCTAGGGATCAATTATACCTCATTCACTTTTTTTTTTCCTGGTGACATTAATGCTGGAAATAATATTCATATTACAACCACATTTGTTTAGATTAGTTACATTTGAAATTGGTTGGATCAGTAAGGCTGCATGACAATTTAACAATTCTCCTGGTGGCCCTTAGTAGGCATTCTCTGTCTGTGAAATATCTAATGAGATGGTGCTGCTCTAGCATCAAACTCCATCTAGTTAGGGTTGGACACGGTAACCCTCCATATATATGAAGCTTTTAAGGCCTCTATGACATGGTCATGAGAGATGTTCCTTTCTTTTGTGCAATAAACTAACCTATGTTGGATAGGTCATTTTGTCCTGTCCCTACTGATTCTCCATTGCTAGGCTTCTTCTCATCTAGAAATGAGTGTTAGGTGGAAAAATTCATTCAACCGCCTCGTTGGTTATCATACCAGTACCATGCATGTCATCCTCATAAGATTCCAACAGAAACATTTGACATCAAATTAGTCTTCACATTAGACTCCTTCACAACATGAAATCCTATTTATTCATCAAAGCTAGACAATTAATTCGATCGACTCTGATAGATATAACTTCTCAACTGACTATAACAACTTCTCTGTAAATTCTTGCCTTCTTTTGACCCAATAACCTCTAGTTGAGTGTCGTATCCGCTTGCGAGCCCACCATAAAAGACGTCACAGCCCAACATGCAAGCTCTAAACATGTGAAGTCAAATTGGTTTAAAACATTCTATTCCGTTCACACTTAATTAGATACTTCGGACCGGGACTTGGGAATCTAAAGTTCATTAGTTTGTACCCACTAATGTAAGACTCCTAATAAGAATACAGCATTTAATATGCATTAATATGTGCCCTTGAGAATGATACAACTAGCAAAACCATTAAATGCAATATAGAATCTAAGATCAAACTGACTTAAGAAAAGAAAGGAGAAAAACACAATTAGATATCAAAAGAATAAGAAGAGTACCTTGGGTAACAAGCACTCTCAGACCTGGCCGGAGATTCCATGAGATTCTCAGCAGCTAAAGAATCTTCAACCGATAACCCATTAAGGCTGGAAGCCATTATCTAAAAGTTCGTGAAGTAGGAACTCATTACCCAACAAATCAACTAATGATAGAGAATATTCACGAAGCACGACTAATGGAGAAATTGATCTCATCGATCGCTTCGAAAACAGAATTAAAATAATAAGAAAGATAAACGACAGAGGGAAACACTGTAGAGTTCGGTCTTCCAAAAATTAAATGTGTACAGTATGAACACAACATACAACGGCAAAACCCGAAAATTTCGTGACCAGAATCAAAACTTTCGAATTTAATTGACAGTGGGAAAATTTCCCATAAGAACATAAATTTCCTTCAGCAGAGAAAACCCTAGTAAACATTTGCTCTCGTCCGAAGGAACGCAGAAGCCAAAGTATCCAACTTCTGACAAGAACGGTGGGTAAAGAGCACGAAGAAGGGAAAGCATAGAAAGGTCACATTTTTCCTCAAATTTCCACCATCGAATGCATACGATAGAAAAGAACAAGAAAAACCAAGGGTAGAACGAGGGCATCTTTTTTTCCCGCCACCAACGACAAAATTCCCTGTTCCGAGGAGGAAAAACAAAGCAATTGATCGCTCAATACAAAATTCCTGAGACCGGTGAAATGGATCTCCCGAATTTTACTTCGTAACAATCGAATTGTCGCAGATATCAAAAGAAATCGCCTTTTGATCTTCCGAAAAAACGGATCACTATGTATCTCTCTCTGAGGTCAAAACAAGAGAGAAAAGGGAAAGAGAAAAGGAGAAGAGATCAGACCGGTGGTGATGGTGGTACCTCACTGAGATAACGCTTGTGCGAATGGAAGTTGTCCAGGTAGACCTCCTCCTCGGGGTCTCTGCCCCTCTTCACCCCGGTCGGCGACGCCGCCGCCGAAGTCGAGCAGGCCGCCGTCGGCTCGCCACTGCTACCGCTGCCCATCGATCTTTCTTCTCCCATCTCACACTGGCTTCTCGGCATCTCAGGTGGGAGGTTAAAGCAAGGAAAGCGAACCACCGTACCCCGCAAAGGGAAATGGTCCAACGGGTGGGAGAAAGTGCGTGTCAGCCATGCGTGAGTTATAGAAAGATGTCTCCTTTTATAGGTGGACGATTTCTTACGGGCTATTTTTGCTTTTTTTTTTTTTCGGATGATACTCATTTTCATTCTATTCGATATTTTTAATTTTTATATATTTTAAAACTATCCTTTTTTTTAATATTGTTAAACTATTTTTTTTTTCTTTTTTTCTTCTTCATTCTTATTTAAGGATAATATCAAGGGGGCGACAAACAAGATCAAATAGTATAGAATTACGATAGTAATAAATAATATTGATGCGAGCGATGATGATAACGAACATAGAGGTGATAAGCGACGACACCTTTAAATACACCTATGACGAGCGTTCAAGAATTATCGCATAACCATTGACATTATTAATAATAAATAGAGAGGTATCAAGGGGACAACGAGCAATATCTATAACGAGTAGAGTCGACAAATAATATATAGATCAATCTATCGAATTCCAACAATATATATATATATATATATATATATATATATATATATATATATATATGTATACATACATACATACATACATATCTTAGTTTTTCGAGTTCAACCAATGTAAATTTATCCAAAATCTTAGTTTTTTTATCAATAATATTGATCTATATTTTTTATATTTTAAGGACTCCTCAAACATAAGTAAAACATGAAGAATAAATATATTTACTCATTTATAAATATGATGTGGTAGATTTTGAAGGGAACACCTTCAGTTCTAATGCCATAGCAAACCTGTGATCAGCAACATTCGATCTAAGCTTAAGCTCGTGAATTTAGTGATCGACAAGTCTTTTATCAGGTTGACATTTCCTCAACCAAAATTGAGCTCAAAACATAAAATTTTTGCCCAAGCTCGGTCGAAGATTGAGTTAGAATTGAGTAGAGATCGCAGTGCTAATACAAATGCCTTATGCTTAGGGGTGTTGAAGTATGGTCGTAAACAGGCCAAACGCGAACAAGAGAACTTAGTGGTTACACACATTGCGGTGGAAACAGAAGGTTGTGCGTCTCCTCCACCTGAGTCTTTCATGATAAATCAGCAACAACCTCATCAAGCAAGCAACTCAAAACCTCTGTTTCGAACTCCACTCCTGCTTCAAATGCTTCGATTTCGAAAGTAGTCCAGCTCCCCAAACGAGTGCTCATGTCTTTGTCCACGAGCTCGTCCACCATCCAGTCTCCGCCACTCTTCCAGCCTGATATCTCCTTGTAGAGCTCCTCTGCCAACCCCTTTGCGACGGCGACTCCTCTTGCCCACGAACGATAACCTGCTCGGAAATAATGGCTGCACTTCAGATCCAAGCATTCGTTCACTGAATCGAACAACATCCTTCTCCTCGTCTTGAGGTTCTCTTCCTCTCCTTCGTATGCCGCAAAAGTTTTGGTCTCTTCCAGCTTGTCAAAAAGTATGGGATCAAGTATCTCGAAAGAATGGTCGAAAGGTCGAGGTATCAAGTTCTTGAATGTAAATCCTGTGTTGGTTAATATGTCCTTCACATACTCCAATTCCTGCTTGCATGGATTAGCATGATCACAAGCGTTGATTTCCAAGACTAGTTCTCCATGCACAGACGATGATGCTGCATCAGATATCCCCAACTCAGGCTCCATCAATGATGTTCTGTTCATGCAAATCTGATCTACCATGTCTCGAGCTTGAATGGAGGAAGAAGAGATGCCCATCTTGAGTCCTGCAAATAAGAGCATAAATTGCATGCATAATGGGGGAGAATAACCAGTTTAAAGTATTTATCAAGCAATCTAACACTACCATGAGTACTTTGCCAGCCCTCAATTGAGTAGCAGGAAATGGCACTCTGACCTTGATGGTTACTCTTCTTATCATCCATCATGCTACTTTGATATTCCATCCGGTCCACATTCTATTAAAAGGGGTGCATCAAAAGCCAGTTACAGAAAATAGATAGCATCTATCATGAAATCCAACAGATGATTTAGCAATCTAATATAATATGACCTGCAAGTCCTCCCATAATAGCTTGTTCTAGGTGCATAATCACAACCTCATACATAATACAAACAATTGAAGCAGCAAAGCACCTTGTACCTTACAAGAACTACCTTTATCTTTCTCGAGCATACAGCTCCAGACATGGAAGGTGGAGTGTCTTTAGTTGTAAAGGAATATAGATTGGAAACCCATGCTGTGGGTTTATATACATAATTGAGACAGACTAAAGAAATGATTATGTATGCAGCATAAGGGTAAAATTCCTACCAAAAGCATATCAACCAAAAGAAAGATCCATTATTGCTTCATAAGTCATGTTTACTTCCAGAACAAAACAAAGTCAGTTGCACTTTTATAAGCTTTTCATAGACATTATAAGGTGAAAAGTTAACCATACATCTAGTTGTGGTAGCTCTATTCAGTTCATGAAGATTTCCAGTGATGGTCATGCTAAATTTAAATTCTGTTGTTGTTGCTGTGTTTTACTTAATTGGGCTTCAGACTCATCTTCCTCCATGAATTTTAGTATAATCTTGAAACTTTGACAATACACAAGTGATCTCAGTTTACAAGTCCAACTTCTGTTTCAGAAACCAAATGTATTACCTTCTTTTTGGGTCTGTGCCTGTGGTTATTCTCCCCTAGGCCCACAGGGGGGAATGCTTCTTTTGTTTTTTCATTTTAGAAAATGTACCTAGACTTCTTTATTCAGTGGGGATTACTTTTTCTTGTCTTCCAGAAGGTGCATGCAGTTTACAGGGAGGTTGCCACAGAAGTTCCAGTCAAGATATTGCTTTTTTTATGCTCTCTACCTAAATCTAGTCATTTATAAATCAGCTACAAGGTATTAGGTGATGGGTTTATAGCCAATGATAATAATCACACCTAGAGCAGATGTATGAACCATAATGAGCAATATGTCCCTATATGATAGCATCAGAATCATAACAGCAGATATATGCTAAAGAGTGATGTATGATTTTCTTTCCTTGTGTTAATTTCAAGCATTAAGAGTCATCACAATGACATCTTTATCTAATTCTATGCTGCCAAAAGCCGAAAGCTTCATTTAAAAGACTAAAGAAAAGACTATAAAATGACAATAAGAGTAAATTAAAACAGATACCATTGAAAGGACTTTGCTCTAGGAGATAGCTAATGCTCAAGAATCTCAAGGTCATAGAGAGCAAGCACTGCAAATTGAGGTAGAGACACGAGCCATAAAATATTCTCAAGACTTCTAATCTTCTACAGAGTGATTCTCTTACAACTTGAATTTAAGATAAGAAATCTAGCAAAATAGGAAAGCATCAAAGATTTCATTATCCTGCTAACTGTAAGTGAGCAAGCATTACTTGAAAATTACAAGTTACAAAGTTTTATGTCGGTCTGACCTGTGACTAGAGTATTCTACTTGGTCAATGAGTGGCATGCATTCATAATTTTCATGACAAGGTGGTTCTGTCTTTGTGATTGCAGCATTCTAAGATGTGCAATAATTCAAGGTCCACTTCATGCTCAAATGGCATCAACCGATGTTGCTTAAAGCATAAGTTTTGTGTTTCACTTTCACTAAAGCATATAATTCTCTCTTTTCTGATTCCTCTCCCTTTTTTCACTGAGCTAATTTGTATGCCTTCCCTCCTCCTAAATTATTTTGTGCTCTCAGGTAAATCATATGATAAGGAAAAAAATGATTTGGATTCCCATCCTCGATGCAAAAAACTGGACTATTGGCACATTCATTGGTGACTTTTGACACTAGATCTTTGTAGAGATCACGACATTCAGAACCACTTGGAGGACCCAAATACTTCTGGTGACATATAGGTATCAGGTGCCACATGCAGTTAATTTGATCAATCTGCTTTAAGTTTCAATTTCATGGATTGAAGAAGCCATGTCCATCAAGCCATCTTCAAATATTCTTGCCGATATTTAAATTTTATATTGAAAATACTGCTATGAGTGGTGTAATGATGGCACTAACATTTCTCAAGTTGTCAAAGGCTTTAGACTAACTATGTTGTAATAACATGACAAAATGCAGAACTTTCAAAGGCAAAACCCTTGATCATGTAATAAAATGGTGGGCTCTAATAACCAAAACAACAGCAGTTCTTAAAGAATTTACTACCAGCTAGTAGTGATTTTTACAGTTTCAAGCAATGAATTACTCAAACACTACTAAAATACTATTGGAACAAATTTGGAAAATGCATGAAACTGAAGCTCTCCAGCAAAAGCATAGATAAGTACAAAATACCTGCAGTTCATGGCTTATGCATTCTACCTGATCACTAGCTAAAGAATCTGAATCAAAGCTACCAGATAATTCATCACTGAAGGACAAGTTTAAGGATTCTGTTTTTTGCTCAGCAGCTGCAACACTAGGAACATTAAGAGCAGAAGTTGAATCATCCAAAACAGATGCATATGCTAAACCACTGCCTCCTCTAAATAATGTACAGTAGGGTGACTTAGCCCCTGATGATAATTCTCGCAACTTTCTTTCTATTAGGATACCCAAAGAATCACCATCTACCGCATGTAGTTTGAGATGGGATGACATTCTGCTGTCTGCTTCACGGGTTTCACTGAAATAATCATTCTTTTTTTCCTGGTTTTTCACCTCATGATTGGAAGCCTGTGATCCAGATATTGGCCTTTTCATAGGGGAAGTGAAAGTAAATGATACAACATCTGTAACACTTCGTGTGTTGTCATCATGCAGTCCTGGATGTCCATCCATCACAACATTATGCTGAACCTGTTTTCCTTGGCTACCCAAAGGAATGTCATCAGAAGGCCGGCATCTTATGGAAGATGATCTCTGCTCTACCAATCTTTTCTTGCGTGTGAAGTTCTTGTGACCTGATGGCAATTTATCCTTGTCAAGATCAGCAGTTCCTAAATCCTTCTTCATGTAGCCAACTTTAGCATTTCCTGGAAGCTTACTTACAATCTTGTTGTTTTCAGAAGAAGCACCTCCAGGAAGGATTTTTATTCCCTGCTGCTCAGAAATCGATGATGGCAAAGGTAACTTGCTTTTACCTGATGCGCAGTTCTGCTTACGATTATTTTGTCTCAGAACATGAGAACCATTTACGGTAGAAGTCCTCTTATGCTGGTTATTCTTTTGGTCATTTGACGGGCTCTTTGATGGTTTGTTCAAGGTACATTCCTCTTTATTCTTCAGCATTATTGTGTTCCCACTCTTTGTGCTTGAACCATCCCTTCTCTGAGCATTCACCTTTGTTTCTGTTGCAAGGGAGACTAGCTTCCCCTTACCTTTGGCACCAGAAGGATCAACCTCCGCAGCACTTGGGAAGGGTCGACCAACTGTACTGTCTTTTAGCCCCTTGGAATTTCTTTTCAAAGTCTGCCCTCCGACAGATGCAGGAGCACCTGTCCCAGCAATTCCTTCAAGCGATTCTGAAAGCATTGATATCTTTTTAGGTATTGCTATGATCCCATTTGATTCACAAACTTTTGAATGATTCAAGGGTGACTTGAGAGGCTGAACTCTACCCGTGCTAGCCCCATGAAGCTCAGATTCAAGAATCTTTGCTGCTGCTTCAATTATATATGATGCATTCTTAGAAGAGATGAAACCTGGATTTTTAACAGGAGAAAGTAATTTGTGGTGGGTGATTGCAATTGTTTTAGCCATTCTAGGAGGAAGCGTTTCTGTTTGGAATCTCTCAATTGGGCTGCTTGGCATCTTTTGGGACTTCGATTCTGGCTTCCCAGAATGGATGTCACTTCTTTTATCCACAGAGTAGAAATTATCATTATTGAATCTTTCAGTACCTCTTTTGTGTATATTGTCATCCTGAAGCAAACGTGAGCCATGCAAAGGTGTCGAATAAGGCTCGGAAATGCCTGAAGTTGGTACATAATCCAAACCCATAAGCCTGGCTATGACCCCAGGAGTCTTGAATGCATTTCCCTCTTCATCAGTTGTTGAAGCACCGCTGTGGTGACTGCTCTCTTTGGCACTCGAGACTCCTTCTAACTCATCTTGATCAATCTGCAAAACCGCCCCCCCAAAAAAGAAGATTTTAGCATCAAATACAGGAAACAACTGGCATGATGACAGGAAATAAAAGGCCAAAAAGAGGAACCAGATGGAATCGTGAGGCTGGCACATTATCGTCGATCTTATTCCCCTGGACTGTGTTCTCTGCAAGCGAAATATCTCATACAAATACAATGTCACCGTCAGAAAGTAACAGACTTAACAAGGAGGCGGAAGAAAAAAAAAGGCTTACCAGATGAAGCATTTCCACTTGAGAACAATTTCTTGCGCGACTTCCTGTTCCAATCAAACAGATGAAAGAAACGACCGCCTCCACCCTCCGAACCCATTTGACATTCCCTAAGATCAGAACAGTTTCAAACTTTCACATCAGCGGCAGCTTATAATCCACCGCCTAAACTAAGCACAAACTGATCAGCCAAATCTGGCTCAACTACACTTTGACTTGACGCCAAATTATTCATGTCATCTAGCCAAAAGAAAAGGGAAAAAAAAGCGTCAACCGAAATGTGTAACACATACGTTTATCAGAAAGATCGGGGTCGAACAGAAACATACGGCGATGGCTAAAAGAACCAACTTTGCAGAAGAAAAGAAAGAGAAGCACCTTTTAACTCCGCATAGTGGAACCCCTCAAACAACCAAGTCAACCAGTAACTCGTAATCCAACCCTCCTCAAACAAAATGGCATCGCCAAAAAGAAAGGCGCACAAAAAGCCACTCGATCCCTGAAGATCAATCCTTAAGACTCACCGTATTACAGACCGAAATGGTCTCGAAACCCTAGTGCTAGGTGGGGGAAGACGAACCGGCGAATCGAGGAAGGAGGGAGAATGCGCGTCGAATCCCACCGATATCTCGTTCGACTCGGCGTCGGGATTAGGGTTTTGGGAGGGAAGGCGGAGGGGGAGGAGGGAGGCGGGGACGAAGACGGTGCGACGCCATTACTGCGGTTGAGCCGGAGAGCGACTGAGACGGAGAATAATAATAGTCGTCCTTCCGCAGTAAATGGAGGAAGCAACAGTTAATAATGATAGGCTACGTGTCAACCTCTCCTCCAAAGCCATGCTAGTTAGCATGGCTGGTCAAAGAAACACCTCAATGTAAGCTCACATGGAATCTAATCCTTATTTTGACCAAATTTATGAGAAGTTTCCGTTGACTCACACATTATAAAATGTATCCCAATAAGTGCACATTATGATCTTAAACAAATGTTATTAAGATGGTTAAGTGATATCAAATGAAGTCATTATACAGCAAAGCTTAGAGTTGACTTCAAATTTGGAAATCAAGTTGGTGTAAATGTAGTTTGGACAAAGATTAATTTAAAGCAATAAAACACCCAATCAAATAGACTGGTGATATGTATTTAAGGTTTTTTTCAACTCAGGGCAAGAGTTTGAACCAAAACATTTCAAGAAATTATCCTCAAATAAATGTCATAAAAAAATAAAAGGAAAAAAAAAGTGAATAGTGTTAAGCAGAGTGTGCAAATTGTGCATAAAAGTGGAATTTAATGCATTGATTGTGAGAATTAATTAGGTAAATGATAGGAAGTTTGGATATCAACATCACCATCATTGTCATCATCATCAGTTTTCTCTTGCAAGTCAAGCAGTGAGTTCTCTGCATTGATGATATAATCATACTTGTTCTGCAGCATTTTGTCCAAAAGAGATGCATGTAAAGAGGAACTCCTTTTAAAGTCATATAGAACAAATCAAAATTCTAAGAACATTTAGCTTGCAGTCAAGAAGTGGGATCTCTCTCTCTCTCTCTCTCTCTCTCTCAATTAATATCCCTACCTGCCAAGCAAAAAACACCATTTAGTTCTTCACATCTCATGGCTCCAAAGGCATGAGTAGGGAGCATTGTTCTCATGAGCTGCTTCATATATTCAACACCATCACATATTTTTAATCACAACAAATGAAATTGTACTTGAAAATAGCATCACATATTTGATCATTTGGTTGGAGTAAAAGGGCACTTGATGCATATTGCCTGCAAATGGCATATTGGCCTTCAATTACGATCAGCTGGGACTTGAAGAACTGCACTTATTTCTCTGGCACATGATACTCGATGGCTATGACATCTTTGACTCTTTATCTCCTTTGTGGCTAAAAGCACATGAAAAGTGATCCCCTGACTCTGCCTTATAACTGTTTGGTCCAAAGAAGCTGCGGGATTGCGCGATACATGTTGACAGCTTCGTTTCTTGGGAGTCAAAGCTTCTGATTCCAGCATGTGGGACAACTTGTCGATAATAATGTGGAACGTTTGGGTTCAGAGACAGACTGATTGGCTGTCAGGGATACATAAATGCTTGAGTGCACCACACACAGGAACAGCTACAGGCTTCCCCCTTGGCTGGCATCAGAGAGTTAGGAGCCTTTGATCTAATTGTCATTTACTATTGGATACACCTTGCACTTCTTAGATTAAACAGATTCATGCATAGATTAATCGGTTTACTTCCACAGAAGCAAACACAAGTCATGAATTACTACAATACTTTCATCAGACAATTCATCAGGACTCGTATGCAACAGAAACTTCACAGGAAAATGTCTTCTGTCTAGAAAATACAAACCAGATTTATCATGCCATGAAAAAGACATCCATACTTGATTTCCTAGCACTTTCCATTAGCTTGCAGGGCCTACAAGAACCCCCTGCGCAGAACCTTCTTTTAGGTTGGGATCCTCCTTGGTCTCGCTGTCAGCTTTCTTTATCTTGATCTTATACTTCAATTCAAATTCTGAAATCTCCTTCTTCTTACTCTCCAGTGCCTCGTTGAGGCGAGCAATGACCTCCTCGAGACCTTCCTTGTTGCGCTGCACAGCAGGCACGACTTCCTTGATTGTCCTCTCGACCAGCACACCACCAACCGTCCGGTAGCAGCGGCGTGATGGATCAAGTGGTTGTATGGCACCTATTACAAGGGAGTGCTCACTGACTTCCATTTCTAGCTCAGTGATCTTTGAGTAGATCTGGTTAATTTCTGACCGCATGTTTGCATATGTGTTTAAAATAATTTGCTCATTCACTGGCTCCCGACTATCACTGCTAGATTTGCTGGCCATTGTTCCTGAAAATGCATCACAGGTTACATCAGGTGCACATACATAAAGCTGGAATCATTCGGCGTTTGCCATGGTACATCTACTCTCACATTGTTCATGCGGGAACCTCAATTTTCTACACAATTATCAAGATAACAGGGGGTGAGATTTCAGTGGCAGTAACCAATTTATTTACTCCAGTGATTGATCATTCATGGAAGGCAAAAAATGTAATGTCATACTCATCGTATACGTCTTCTTCCAATTGCAACAAACTTAATGCCCAAGATATCAGACTTTTAATAATGAAGATGGTTGGCGATGATAGCCATTCGATTATGGTGGCCCCTCTTGGCAATTCTAACGAAGAAGAGGATGCTGGTGACTGTTGTGACTGCCTGCCGCAGACCGAGAAAAAGAGACAGAAAGTCGAAAGAAAATCAAATGAATCTGTATGCTTTGGGATATGAATGACCATGACTTTCTCTTTTTCATTCTTTACGATCAAAAGAAAACAAATGATTTAGACAGAGTTTTGCTTACATGTGTTGACCACATTTCTCTCTAAAGAGCGATATATATAATGCCAACAAAGGATGGGCGAAGGAACAATAAGTCATGCCATGGTCACGAGTGTTCGAGAAAGAAAAGAACCACAATCAAGAAACACCTTAAGACAACTATTTGCTACGGTTAGTCCTTAAGAGAAGTATTAAGTTATCAAGAACCTTTCTTTTGTTAGTTACTACTTTTCCATTTGAATTCATACTAGTTATCATGTTGCAAAATGGAAATGCCTACAACACATGCATAGTAGATATGAGGTTATGAATGTATTCACAAAATGCAGCAGATTTATTCTGAACGATGACAAATCTCAAAAATAAATCTCGACACCTTCAAGATTCAAAGGAAATCATAAGGTTCAAGGGCATTAAATTATACTTTTCAAAAGTCCAGTTTTGGTTAAAAGAAATTCAACCTTATTTAACAAGATATCCTGAAATGTTTAGAGGAAAAAGAACTGCTATGAAAATTATATTGCAATTGATACATCGTAATCAAGAATAGTGGTGGATAGTGTGGGTCAAGTACCTGAATGCCAGGTGACCTTTCCACTCTTCAAATATACTAATCAAGGTTTTGGAGCAAACACAGCAATCAATATATGCATGATGGATTCAAACCCCTAGATGGAACACTAACGTAAAATGTCTTGAAACCAAGCGCGTGATCTGATGGCAATTCTCGTAAAGTTTCTGAATTCAATAAAGCCTAAAAATGATGATTGATCTCTAAAGTTAGTTTCTTTCTCCAAAAGAAACAACAATATTCATCTCTAATAGCCCATAGTTTCAGTACAACGAAGGAACCAAAAATTCCAGCCATTGAAAATGCCTAACAATCCCTTGCCATTTGTGCATCAAAATCTTGAAATATTAAAGATGAAAAGCTTTGATTGGCTGGATTTGGTGCTGAAAGCAGAAATCAAGCAGACGGTTGATCGATGATGAAATCGAGGCAAACAGATCATTATTCTACGTCTAATTCCAAACAACATGCCAAACGGCTACAAGATCTCGGCTTCGTAACCCATGATGACGCAGAAACCGCAGCGCAACAGCATCCGAATAGAGGGACGTGGGCAAGGCAAGCAAACCGATGACGGGAGAAGGAGAGCGTTTCACCTTGGACGGAAGAAGAGGCGGAGGCCGAAGATGGGGCAGCGCGATCCGATTCCGGGAGAGGCCGCGGGCGGAGACGGTGAGTGGGGAGCGGGACGGTGACGGAGAGTTTGGGGGTGGTATGGAAAGCGACAAAGGGGTTCAACTCTTAGTATCAGTGCTTTAGGATTCGTGTCTGCTTTAGATTGGTTCCGAAAGGAAAAGTTGGTCTTATCAACGATCGTGGAGAAGCGGATGAAAGGCTGCGTTTTAACCCGTTACTCCATCCGAATCCGACCACACTTCGAGTGACGGCAACCTCCCCCTTCCATCTCCGTCGTCTCCCACACGGCCGGTGGAAGAGCTCTCTCTTACCACTAACCCATTCAAGGGCACAACAGGGGAGGGATCTGATTTCCAAGAGCACCAAAGGCTGCATTGATCCCAGCAAACACGTCTGTTCTGCGAAGGATAGTTCGCCGACGAGTGATACAGTGCAGATATTGCAGCTTTTATTAAGAGTCTCAGAAAACTCTATGGAGTTGCATCGGAACACTTGAATAGTATTGGCGGGGGCCGCGCGAACGCGTTCCCCCTCTACCACAAATTATGACGTCCACTCTCCCGCTTGGGGAGATGGTAGACCAGCACCCCTCCCCGGTGCAATGGAGGTCACTGATCTAGGCCATGAGCCTTCATGATCGCCCATAGACCCCGTCCAGGTAAGTATGGATCATCGGTTGATCCCCACTCCCTCATATACAAGCCCCCCACTTTCCCCTCCCGCTCCCCTTGCGATGTGGGACTAAAACAGCAATCCCAGTTCCGCTCCCGAAAGCGGCGCGAACTACAGATCGCTTGCTTGCTGCCGTGAACTCGAAATGGCCGGAGATCCTGCGGCGGAAGGAGAAGCAACCCGATGAGCTCTTCCAACGGCCGTGTAGGAAACGACGGAGATGGAACGGAAGGCTGCCATCACTCGAAGGGTGGTCGGATCCGGATGGAGTAACGGGTTAAACTGCAGCCCTTCATCCGCTTCTCCACGACCGTTGATCAGACTGACCTTTTCTTTTTTTTTATTTATTAGATTAAACTTGTCTTTCTTTCGGAACAGATCTAACAGAGACACGAATCCTAAAGCACTGATACATTAAAGAATGAAAGAAACAGTTGTGATTGTTGCAGTCGAAGAATTATAATAAATGAAACAGAGAGAAAAAGAAAAAGGGTCAATCATCTTGCTATGGAAATATCAATCAATAAGATAGTGTGGAAATAAGCAAGCTATTGACTTCTTTCAAATAGCAATCAACATCAATCATTCTCGCATTTGGTTAGATATTGTGGAAATAAGCAATCCATTAAACTATTTTCGAATAGAAATATATATGATTGAGCACACTCTTACCTGATATAACCGAGAGAACCCAAGTACCAGCTGATCACCGACCAACCAAAAGAAGGGAATCGTCCAAGACAACAACACATCCTCCCAACTTTTGGCACCTTTCACAAGCTCAAACCCACGGTTGCCTCAAAAAGGTTCATTCCGCAAGCAGCATTGGCAGCTTTACACATTTCCAATCATTATGAGCCTTCAACAATCAAACTAATGCTTCTTCACCGAGCAACAACCATTACCAAAAGCTAATGCTGTCTCAAACCAATCACCACAAAGGTCCCCAAATGCACAAACGTTTTAGCTTCTCAGTCGGCAAACTATTTAGATAGAACCTACAAACTATTATTATTCGAGGAGCTCCAACGCAGCAAAGCTTCACCAACTCGACCACAAAAGTAATTGGTGATATCATCGCTGTTTTGGAGTCCAGGTTTTACTATAACTAAGATGGTAACCACATGCTTCACTATACCGCTTGGCAGCATCATACAGTAGTAGCACAAGAGTGATAATTAGAGCCAACAACACTACATTGCATCCACCAAAAAAGGAGGTCGTTTTGTCTTGTTCGACTTAAACCTAGGCATGTAGGAAGCCGGACGAGAGGGCCATCAAGAGGACTGCGGCCTCCTCCACTTCCCCAAGCATGCTTCTCCTCCTCTGCTTCTGAACCATGGATCTCGGCTTGCACAATCCCGGCCCCAACATCCGAAGCTTAAAGGACACCTCAAACCTCTCCCCGCCACTGCCGCCGTCAATCTCTCTCTTCGTCTTCCTCATTCCCGTCCCTGCTTCCTTCGACACCGGCACCGCTCGTCTGCTCTTCCGGTACCGGATCCCGCACGCGTTGCAGAGCGACTGCAGCCGCAGATCACGAGTCCACCAATCAGATCAAGAAAGAAAACATGCCCAAAAGAAAGCATCGATCAGACCGGCAGTCGCACCCGCATACCTTGGGACCACAAGGACCGGCTCGCCAGAGAGGGGTCGTGGTGGTTCGACAATCTGCGCAGCGCTTAATCTGGGAATCACCACTGCTGGTGCTACTGCTCGGATCTGAAGATCCCGAAGACTGCAGATCGAATCGAAGCCAGAAACAAGAAGCCAATGCGAATCAGCACATGAATCAGCAGCAGCAAACTCTACTCAGCAGTACAAGAAACGAAGCATGAGCAGGCTTACCATTTCTCTTACTCCGTGACTCGGATCCGTCAAACCAGGCCGGAATTCCATACTCTCTCACACTTAAGCTGCTCCACTGCAGGTAAATCCAGGGGCCGATCCACCTTCTTATCAATCAGAAGCGGCAGCCACCAGAGATCCGAAGCTAACGAGGAAGAGCACCGCCGTTTCCCTTCCTCTCGCCTATCGTCATCTCCTCCTCTGATCCCTTTCAGAAAGACACAGATGAGGCAACTTCAGAGCCACACTGTGCTAATATACATGCGTGGGAATAGCGAGAGGTGTGGAACTCTCAGGAACAGAGGAGGGAGTGGAGGGAAAGAGGCAAACATGGAAGACTTACTTTAATGGTAGCTTTCAACTAGTTCATGTAAGCCAACTTTTCTGGTCGACACCGGCTTATTTTAATTCCCCGTGCGGGCGCACTTTACCGCATTACCCGGGGCAGGAACCCGAGGGCCAGCTGGGAAACCGCCGCGCCGCAGCAAGCAGGGAAGACTCAAACCAACGACGTGGCTCTATATTATGCGTCAACAAAGGAGTGACAGTGGGACCCGCGAACCACTAAGAGCCGCACCGGACGGTCCAGTTTCGAGGTTCGCTGCGGGAGACCGGATAGCTGATCTTGTGAGGCGGCAGAACCGAGGCCGGCGCTTGCACGGCCACCGTGGCGGCGGAAACCCTAGCGACATGAGATGTTGATATGACGAAAATACCCCGGAAGCAAAGCTTTGGGAGGGGTAGTTTTGTCATTCCGGCGTGCTCGGTGCGACGTCCGATCGAGATCAGACGGTATCGACGGGGCTCCAAATCAATTATCCGATTCATTTAATTCGAAATATATGATAATTAGTAATTAGTTTGGAGACAAATAATACCAAAAGATAAATACATATATAATTTAGAATTTTCGAATAATTAAATACAAATGATGGGTTCAGCAGTCTTCTCGAGGAGATAATATCTCACACATATATTAATTAAAATGATAATACCAAGGAAAGCACAACTTATTATTGGCCTCGTACGTACGTTACACTTCACACGCACAAAGATTGGGAGAGAGAGAGAGAGAAACAGAGCAACAATGTCACGTTGTCTCACACACAGACACACTCTCTCTCTCTCTCTCTCGTGGTGACGATGAGTAGTATTGCTGCATCGCCACCATTATTAAGCCACACATGACAGACAATACGGATAGTTTCCAGAGGCTTAGGCATAAGCAGCGGGGTTGGTGGTCAGGTAACCTTCCACAGCCTTGGCGACCCATACCGACCCCTCCTTGATCTTGTTCACCTCCTCCTCGGGGAGCCCCTTGTCGTCGATGGTATCATACTCCACCTTGATCTTCAGAGAGCAGGTGTCGGCGCTCAAGGCGTCGTACTTGTGCTCGATGGTGTGCGACTTGAGCGTGTGGCCGAGGTGGCCTCCCTCGACGGTCTTGTACTTCAAGGTGTGGCTCCCATGATCCAGCACTTCGACATGGTTCTTCACGAAGATCAGTGGCTTCATACCTGCAGTCTCATCCACAGAATTGCCAGTTGAAATCAGCATAGTTTACGGATCTTCCTGTTACCTGAAAGAAGCATTGGTGATGTGAATCCAAACCTGGATCGAAGTGGAAGATCTTGGTGCTGCCAGCTTCACCATCCCCGATGAGCTCGGCGCCGGAGAAGTACTGCGGCATGATCTTTGGCAGCAGGATGTGATCCTCGCAGGCGGCCGCCTTCCATACTCTGTGGACGCTGACATTGAGCGTCAGCTCTTCGGTGCAGCACCCGGCAACCATGGCGTCGATGAAGGTGTTTTGCCGGATGAGAGCTCTGCAGGCTGTGATGGGTTGGTGGTGAAGGGAAGGGGAAGAGTCCATTTATAGACGGCGATGGAGTGCCGGGTCATCTCGGGCTTCCAGATGAAGTTTGAACTTTAGGTAACCTCATCGATTAGATTGGAAAAAGGGGGGGGTCTGAGATGACGCGAAGATCGCTCCATGCCAATGAATCGGTTCATCTTCTCTTGTTGGCATCCTCATCCCAATTCAATGTTCTAAGAAGTGGGTGTCATGGTAAACTTGGAAGCATTCAAACTAGCTAGTATTTGTTGACTGAAGCGAAGACTTCAAAGCTCACAAGCATGCAGACTTTGCGGTCTTCATTGTTGAGCAGCCCCATATCATCATCAGCCGTAGTCGAGAATGATCGGATTCTTCAAGCATATGCTAGTCAGATTAAAATATGTATGTATGTATGTATGTATGTATGTATGTATGTTAGAAACAAAGTTTCACCATAAATGTATTTCATGCATTTAATGAAAGAATTAACAGTTCATTCAACGGTGTAGTTTATTATTATATTCTTTGTTAGGGTGAGTGAGATCACGATGAGTTGATGTCGTGTTGCATTTTTCTTCGTTAATTTTATTTTATTGCCGTCTTTGTGGAGCTTCATGTTTGAAACTAAGAGGAAGAACCAAATTGTACGATATAATATTTTTGATGTTGCCGTATTACCAGTATTTATCTTAAAAAATAGAAGAATTAATTTGTTTCTATCGAGTTTGTAGATAAGGTCACATCACTATTACGTCAAATCTCATGTCATGTTAACATTTAATTTTGAACCGACACAAGATTGGATGAAAGTTCTAAGATACGTTATCACTTATGTACTTAAATTTTATTGACGATGGATTAGCCTTCAATTTTTTATCGTAAAATTTTTTCAGAGCAAGCAAAATGCATCCATTTTAGTAAGATATTTTGTTCAAATTTAATTATATAAATTTTGAACAAACATAAGATTGGATGAAGTTTTATCACTTATGTACTTAAACTTTATGGACGATGGATGAACCTATCACTTATGTACTTAAACTTTATGGACGACGAATTAACCTTCAATTTTTTATCGTAAAATCTTTCAGCAAAATGCATCCATTTTAGTCGTCTAAGAAGGTATTTTGTTCAATTTTAGTTATATAATCCCAAGGTATATTTTACTAAGGTGACATCGATTTGTTTGTTCATGCATTCATTTATCGGTAACTGATTTATTTATGGATGAGAGTAAATAAAATTACGAGAAGGTTGACTCGTTACGAACAAACATTATAAACGTATCATATAGTTTAAGTAAAATCAATTAAATCCATGTTTAATTTGGATTACGCTAGTCTTTGAATCTTTAAAAGAGACTACTAAGAATGATACCAAAAAAGAAGGATTACATGATACCAAAGAAATCACATCTTATTTGTAGATATATGTCCTTCAACGACCACACAAAACACCACATTGCAGAAGATGGAAAGAACAGACAAAGAGAGAGATGGCATCAACATGTCATGTCCTATCTCTCTCTCACTCTCTCACTCTCTCACTCTAAAGGTGATGATTCCAGCACTGCTGCATCACCTCATTATTGATTGATCCACGCCCAATGACAAGCACTACGACACTGGAAGCACCAACGTCGGTACACGAAAGCCCACCGGCTCAGAGGCTCAGGGGCTCAGGCACAAACACCGGGGTTGGCTATCAGATAGGCTTCCACCGACTTCATCATCCGTACTGGCACGTCCGTCATCTTCTGCACCTCGTCCTCCGGCAGCGGCGCGTCGTCGATCGTATCGTATTCTGTCTTGGTCTTCACGACACAGCTGTCGGCGCCCGCCGCTTCGAACTTGACCTCGAACGCGTGCGACTTGAGCGTGCGGCCGAGGTGACCTCCTTCGATCGCCTTGTACCTCATCGTGTGGCTTCCGTGGTCCAACACCTCAACATGGTCCTTCACGAAGGTCAGTGGCTCTGCGGCTGCAGTTCGATGGATCGCAACAATAGCCAAATTAGTTCCAATTAACAGATCATACATCAATTCAACCAAAAAGGTTTCGATATGTATCATCCGATTCTTTTTATCGATGTGAGATTATTTTTTATCCTTGTTTTGCGATCTCTTCTCGCACGCACACGAATGTCGGAAAGCAGCATCAAAATCTAAACCTGGAGTGAAGTGGAAGGTCTTTGTGCTGCCAGCTTCGCCATCGCCGACGAGCTCTGCGCCAGCGAAGTACTGAGGAATGATCTTTGGCAGCAGGATGTGATCCTCGCAGGCGGCCGCCTTCCACATCCTGTGGACGCTGACGTTGACCGTCACCTCGTTGGTGCAGCAGCCGGCGACCATGTTGTGGTGAGTCGTAGTACCTTAATGAAGGGAAGGAAAGCTCTGCAAGCAGATGGCTGAGTGCAGGGAAAGGGAAGGCTACGTATATATATATATATATATATATAGAGAGAGAGAGAGAGAGAGAGAGAGAGATGGTGCGGTCGGTGAGGGAGAAGTGCCGGGCGATTTGGGGCTTCTACATGAACATTGAACCTGTGATAACAAGTTAGAATAGCAGTCAGAAGAAATCAGCCAACACCTCATGGGATTGGAAAAAGCCTCAGCCTGAGGTGATGAGTGAATTGGTCGTCTTCTCAGCTGATACAGCATTTGCATCAGCCACTTGACCAATGCAACAGTCCACCAGAATAAGCTCTCATCAGTTTGCATTCATACGGCCACTTTCATGACTCCAATAATTTTATTGGCTTCTCAACATCATTCAGGACTTTGGACTGAAGCAAAGACGACAAATCTGGTGTTACATCCACCATAGCAGTAATACGATTCGACGACGAAATACCAAGAGAATAAACCTAGTGGTAGTCATCTTGCGTATCGTAAAGGAACAATCTTACCGTTGCTCTACGTAACTTTCCAGTTGCATCATCATTAATGCTTTATGTTCGATCAATCAAATGAATTGCAGAATTTGCATCAAGTAGGTAGATGTTTAATTGGAATCCAGAAATTAGAACAAGCCAACCTCATCCAAGATAATAAAATATTGAAGCGAATACTAAATGATGATTTCACATATTAATAATCATCATTCAACATCTACCCATACACCAAGTCCAAGATTGTGGCCATTGCATCCGAGACTTTTGATCCACATGTAGACAAAAGGGGAATTTAGTAGCTCCAGACTTTTCTCTTCTCACTTTAGTTGATTTGTTGGAAATTTCAATGAGATTTATCTATGAGCTGGCTTTCTTGAATCACATGCTAGTAGGCTAAAGTGCAATATAATAAATTATCTAGATGGGTCTAAAGTCAAATGCTTCCAGAAGAGAAGTTCCACTAGTCAATGGAGAAGAACTTTGAAAATCCAAAATTAGTTGGGATAACTTCAAGGAGATGTGATGGCATATCTAATAAAATATCATTGTTGCTCCATCGAGCCATGATGTTGGATTGAATAGCCAAATGAATTATCCTAAAATTTTATTCGAACAATAACACAGGTTCTTTCTGGGGGAGTGTCAACAGACAATCATCTGACATACCAACAAGTATCTGAAACAAATTTAGAAGTCACTGTCTGAAACATTTGGTCCTCTACTTGCATCAACATAAACTAAATGCCACAATTACAAAAACCAGTATCAACAGAAAGTTTGATCTTAAAATAGGTGGCCATCAGATCAAAGTACCATTCACCATCCTAATGTGAAGCATTAGCTGTGTAATAATTGGTATATATTTGTCCCTGAATAAAGTTATTCACAGTCAAAACAATTGGCATTTATTCATTTTGGACACTGCACCTTACCTAATTCTGACAAAAAACAAATTCCTAGAAATTTCCTAGTATGCAAATATGGCATGGAAAAACAAAGGTATCATATTAGCTTTCCATTTCAAATTATCTTATTTACCTTTTAGTCCAAACCCGCAAAAGGGGGCACAAAATGCCGTGATGATTTACACAATGTACAATAGATAAGGCCGCTGGATTGTCTAATCTGTATAAAAGAAACTACCATGTTCTCTCAAATTACTCTTTGTGCATATATACACTCCCAAGATAGGCTCCACCAGGATCTCCCAAACCCTCAGATCCAATGACTCCTGCAAGAGTTAGAGAATAGGTAATCAGTCCATATGGTAACATAGGTATATTGAAGTGGTTCTTGCGACGCTAGATCATTAAATAACGTACATGCTTTTACTTGAGATTGTTCCGTTGTAGAATGCGCATCCCCCACCTCTGGGATTTCCCTTCTTCAATTGTCGATAACAGAACCTGTAAAGTATCTTCTGCTTCTTCCTTGTTTGCAAGTTCAACACTCAAGTGAAAAACAGGTGCAGAAGTCGAAGAATTCCATGGTCTATTCCTAGAACTACTCTTTTTCTGCTTGTATATCGATTCAGCACAGCTTCCAACAATATTCACAGTCTCTTCTGTCCTATCAATATGAACGACACTCTCCAGAGTCATTTCAGTTTCTATAACCCAATCTGGATCAGGAGGGACACCAACAAACTCCGGTGAGCCCAAACCCAGAAGGCAAGAGCACGATGCAACCAAAACCAGCCTCTTGCTGATAGTTATAAACCTCCCTGCCTGCGTGAGTGGTTTGCACATCACAAATATCTCATCCTTCAGTCTCGAGCTATCTGCTTGAAGAAGCAATGACACTCCAATAGCTTCATCCCAAGAGTATGGTGACAAAGGAAGTTCTTTGGCTAAAGGCCTTGATAACCGTGTACGGAAGTGACAGGATTGGTGTGGTCGACTCCTGTTTCTGATACTTTGTGCTGTTTTCCCAGTGGCTTCAAGGATGCTAGCCACTGGTCTTGCAATAAGACCGGCGGTTCCCAATGCAATTCCTGTATGATGGTAAATGAAAAATGAGCTTACAAAGCCACACAAACACACTCAATATTTGAAGATCAAGTTACCTGACACAACCCCAGGTAGGCCATGCTTTTCAGCACCTCTAATTGGGAATTGAAGAAGTCCCGTGAGCCCCTGTATGAAAATAGACAAACA